CGGCAGGGTGCGGGATGCTGGCATCATTGCAGGCCAGGATGAGGGACACCCACCCACCCCCCCGCTCCCATGCACGAATTGTTTATATAACCTAAAATACTCTCTCTAAGATATGTTATTATATCATAAGTACATATAAAATATTTTTGCTATTTAACAAATACATATTACTAACTCTTACTTTTATTCAATAAGTAAAATTGTCTTTACTAGTTTGCAGAAAAAAAATATGATCACAAGAACTCTGGATGGTATGTTCAGTGGTTAGAGTATTGGCCTAAGCACTAAAGGATTGTAAGTTTGATTCCTGGTCAAGGTCATGTACCTGGGTGGCTGATTTGATCCCTGGCATGCAGGAGGCAGCCAGTTTCCCAGTCTATCTCTCTCTCTTTCTATTGCTCTCCATAAAAGTGAATGGAAGAGTATGGTTAGTCTAGTAATTGATCTATATTGACATCCATATTGGCATGGGTATTTGGACTATTATAAAGGTTAACTGGCTCAATAAATGATGAAAAATGACTATTGATTTGCAAAAACGTTATTTTTATCCTTACCTCACATCAATTTAACTCTACCCTGAATTTTCAAAGATTTACATGCAGAAAATAAAAACTGTATATATTCTAGAAGATCATGAGAATGAATATCTTTATAACTCTTGAGTGGAATGAACCTTTTCACATAAAACAAAATTTAAGATGACACTGGAGTCTGAAGGACAGAATAGATCTTGCAGTAAACCGAGCCTGTGAGAGGAAGCACAAGCTGAAACACAATTTCCCAGAATTAAGAGAAATATAATCTTATAGCCATTTGTGAAAAATAATGAAAGGTAAGAATGCAAACAATGTTTGTAGTTATTTTATGGAAGGGAGAGTTAAGAACAAAGGAAGCAAATATGAAACATCTAATATTGAAAGAAAGCCTCCCCCAAGACTTGAGTTAACAGAACAATAGAGCATGCAGAATCCATACAAACCAATAAAATACCATGTCCAAGGCCATACAACTAACAGCTGATAGAGCTAGGCTTTGAATCCAGACCCATCTCATCCTCAAGCTCATGTTCTTCCTCCCACACACGTGTCAACTAGTCATCAAAGGGAACTTCTCTGCAGGCAGTGTGGTACCTTGGAGTGCATCCAGATCAGAACAGGAACATTATTGGAAAACCTGGTGATATTACAATAAAGTCTGAAGTGTAGTTAATACTAACATGGCAATGTTAATCTCTTAGTTTTGATAATTATATTATAGTTATGTTCAGATATTAAACACTACAAAACTGGTTAAAGGGTATGCAGATGTGTAACTTTACTGAAAGTCTAAAATCATTCTCATATAAAAAGTATGTTAAAAAAAATAAAACAAATACCAAAAGAATGGTGCCTTCGGTACTATTCCTAAAACATATAAGTAAAGAGATTCATTGCATTAAGTCAAATTATAATAAAGGCATGCTTTGTATTAAAGACATTATTTATAACAGGTACATTAATTATAACAGGTTTAATGGTTTTAAAAATAACTACAGTAGGTCCCCAGGTTACATTGGAGATCCATTCCTATAGCTCAATGTAATGCGATTTTCGCCGTAAGTTGGAACCCACCTACATAAGCACCTAGGTCACTCACATGGAGCACAAACATAGCAGTAATGAAGTGAAACAATAAAAACAATTTAATAGAAAGATTCCTGACCTTTACTCATGCTAACTAAATAATGAAAAACATAAAGCACATATGTACATACGTCTAAATGACAGAACATTTTTTTTAAATAAATAAATGGGAGATGGCGACATAACCATGAAAGGACGTATGTCGAGTCTGACATAACCCAAGGACTGCCTGTACCTGCCTCAATTACATAGCCTTTTTGAAAATATTGCTTAAATAACTTTTGAACACCATTTCTCTTTTTGTATGGATCAAAATATAGAATGCTATCCATAGTAGTCTTTTAAAACAAGAGGTGATCTGGTTGCGATGAAGTTTTTTCCATTTCTGCTACAGACGTGACAAAGTCCTGGGCTTAGCACAGCAAGAATTAAATTTGGAGGATTAATATAACTGCCTGATTTAAGGAGCTGTCAGGTGAAAGAACAGGACTTCAGAAATAAATGAATCCTAAGAGCAAAAAAACTCAAGCCTATAGTTAAGTAGAAAACTCAGGGGGATTTGACTAGGTAAGGAAAAAGGGGGAAATATTAAAAAACAAACAGAATAAAGGGCATTAAAGAAAATGAGGGCTTATGGTGTCTCTATGGAATGGAAGTGTGATAAATTATGAAAGGGGAAATAACAGTGATACAAACAGCGGTAATTCCAATCATATCACAGCCTTCCAAAGGCTCCAGTCACCCAGAGCAGGAACCAGGGAAGCCCAGCGTCACTGGTGTCTTACCCTCAGCCCCATCCCTTCTCTGACATCATCTTCTCCTGTTTGCCCTCTCCCACACTCCCTCCTGGCCATCCTGTCCCATGCTTCCTCAGGCAGCAGCCTTTGTGCTTGCTCATCTCTCTGCCTGGAATGCTCCTCCTGGAAGGGGGTGCATGGTTCACTCCTGCACCCACTTTGATTTTTGCTCAAATACTAACTTTTCAGTGATTCACTACTGAAATGAACATAGCTATGCCCTAAACTCCCACATCCCCTACGTTGGTATTATTTCTCATGGCTATTCCCACCATCCAACATTCTAATTTCATAGAATGTCTGTTTCCACAACTGCTAGAATGTAAATGCTCAGACTCTTCCCTGTTTGTGTGTTTTTTATCACCACTGGTTCCCCAGTGCCTAGAATGTTACTGGACACATAAATCAATCAATGCATAGACGTGACTCTTTCATTACCGCCATTAAATTAAGAGTAATAAAACACCGAAACTTTTCCAAAGTTATTTTATAGCAATCAAAGTTACATTTTGTCTATATTTTCTGGGTATTTTCTGCACTGAAAAATTAGTTCTATAATGTTTTAAAAGAAAGTTTTGTCTTGTTAAAAACAAGAGAGTTAATCTGGGATTTCATCTCCAGCCCATTTACTGTCAAAGTCAGAAAGATATACTCTTCAGAGTCTTGTTCTTTTTATGAGCTTAACTATTATTTAGTTGTTATCAGAAAGAGCTCACCATCATACAATCTTTCTATGAATAAAATGTCCAGTGGCATGATCCACGAAGCTGATGGGATCATGGATCATAAAATTCCAACTCCTAGTTTTAAAAATGAAGCAACTGAGACCTGAGGAAGCCTTCCTCACTGTCAGTGGAGCACAGCTGAGGAGTAGAGATACGCCCTGAGCAAAAGAGTGAAATGCTGAGGAATGTCCTAGCCCTCAACGTTTGGCAGGAAAACACCAGATTGAAGGTTTTCAGTTTACCATTAAACCTTCATTTTCTTCAACTTATTTCCAACTCATTGCTCTAAAAAGCTTGTGAGCAGTTGCTTCGTATTATTTGAACATTCACGGTCCTCTTTGCCTTAAGATCAGCAAACCAGGTGATCCCATGAGTGTTTTAGCTGCTCCACGGCCAAGGTACCTTCCAGGGCCACTCACATGCAGCCCCTTGCTGCAGCCCTTTGCTATCCCTCTTCAAAGAAGTGTGAGGCCAGCATATTTTTAAAATCTTACTCTTTTCAGTGGCTTGATTATCAATTAACTCTCATGAAATCAAATGGCAGCAGCTTTCAGGATCTAAAAATGCAACACTTCATTTTTCAAAAAGAGCTAATTCTTTTGCTGAAAAATTGTACATGTGTTATTGTATTGTCAGAAGTGGGGAGAAATCTGGCATGAAATTTCCCCGCTCATAGGTAGCAGCAGCAGTTAATCCCCATATGCACATGGGTCGCCAGACAGCTATCTCCGATGTTAGAGTAGAAATCAGGCACATACTCTGGCAAAGACCACCCATAAAATGAAGTTGAAATGGACCAAAACAACCACACTGACTTTTAGTACAATTCAGAATGCAGTTTTCTAAATGACACATGCTGAAAAGGATAGGGAGCGATGCCTTTCAAACAGCAAGAAGAAAAGAATAATATATAATGACATTAGCAAACATCTTAGTGTCCTTTAGGGTGGTTTGCCTTTGAGGTCTAAAGAACCGAGATGCTTGACTCACGTTGAACTGTCCTTATCTGAAAATCTAAGATTGCTCATTTATGGATATTGAGCTCACAGCTGGAAGCCTGGGCATTCAGTAGACCAAGAAAATGAAGCCTTATTACCATGTGAACATTTGAACATCCTCTTCAAAGCCCAAATTGTTATTTTTCATAATCTCTTTGTCTCTCCCTCCCTTTCTCCCTCTCTCTCCCTCTCCCCCTCCCCCCCTTTCTCATTCTCCTCTCTGTAAATGGCAGAGCTGTCCATACTGCATTATAAACACATTATGTACAAATACAGCATTCAGTTTGCTGCAAGCAAATATTTTCTTAGCTGTCCTTCATGAGACAAAACACTTTTCAAACCAGGGACCTTTGGAGACCGGGGTTCAGGATCAGGGTGGAGGCCTTTGCAAGGGGGTTCAGGATCAGGGTGGGGGGCTTTGGAAGGGGGTGCAGGATCAGGTGGAGGTCTTTGGAAGGGTATGCAGGATCAGGGTGGAGGCCTTTGGAGGGGGTGCAGGATCAGGGTGGGGGTATTTGGAAGGGGGTGCAGGATCAGGATAGAGGCCTTTGGAAGGGGGAGCAGGATTAGGGTGGGGGCCTTTGGCAGGGGGTGCAGGATCAGGGTGGGGGGCTTTGGGAGGGGGTGCAGGATCAGGATGGAGGTCTTTGGGAGGGGGTGCAGGATCAGGGTGGAGGTCTTTGGGAGGGGGTGCAGGATCAGGGTGGAGGTCTTTGGGAGGGGGTGCAGGATCAGGGTGGGGGGCTTTGGGAGGGGGTGCAGGATCAGGATGGAGGTCTTTGGGAGGGGGTGCAGGATCAGGGTAGAGGTCTTTGGGAGGGGGTGCAGGATCAGGGCAGACCAGCCAGGACTTACCATGGCGCCCTCACTTCTCCTTTCGGCAACTTCTCGCTGCAGTCGGGCCACAGCCAGCTTCTCCCTGGAGAGACAGAGGGCAGGGTTACTTGACCATTCTCCTGGGGTGAGCGGTGCACTGCAAGGCTCAGAACATTCTTTTGAGGCCTCAGAGGAACTCCTTCCTTGGTTTAGCTCACTTCCTCCACTACACTTTCTATAAATATTTAAAGTGAGTGGTCATTAGTGCATTGTTTTCATTGAGTGTCATGAAAGAGATTTATTTTTATTTTTTGCCTGGGATTCAAAAATAGCCAAAGAAATGTTGAACAAAACTTTAAGTTCATTAACTTATAACATTTATAAATACATTTTCTGTGTCCTCTCTGTACAAACTTTGCTGATATATATTTTTAATTCTCTTATATCTTTGTTGCTTTATATTGATACTGAATTTTAAAAAGCAAACAAAACATAACTGTATCATTCTTGAAATATAAGAGAAAATCATTTGCAGACTTGTTATGTATTAGGCACCTGTGAAAACTTTTACTTGATCTTATATGAGCCTGATGATAGTAGGTTTTACTATCCCCACTTTATAGATGTGGAAACAGAGGCTCAGCAAAGCTAAGTAACAAGCCAAGCCCCCGCTGGTATGTAGTATATTAGGATCAAAATTAGGTTTTCCTTACTTCAAAGGCTAATAAAATTTTTACATATCATTTTTCAGGAGCCAGGAAAAATTCTGCATATAGTTTTTCAGGATCTATTAAATATATAGAAAGAAAAATCAGATAATTTAATTTAGTATTCTTTATTTTACAACGGTGTTCTTTTCACATCTTTTATAATTGTAATTCTGATTTCACTTCCAAAAAAGCTAATATCCCAAGGGATTTTAAAAATACTTTAAAAAGATAGATATCTGCATTTTGGACAGCTTTTCAATTATTCTTTAAAACGTTGATAAATGACAAAAAGTGTGAGTAAGCTTTTCCAGTAATCCTCAGATTTTAGTATTCACAAGGGGGTGCAGGATGAGGGCAGAGAACTTTGGAAGGGGATGCAGAATCAGGATACGTTCAGCAATGGGTGCTGAAATGTTTTTGCTTGTCACTTAAACATTTCTATTTCTATAAAGATGTTAAACTACTAGTATTTGAATAATATTACATTCCTCAGCTTTCCCTCTATCTGGGATCAGCTAACTGCATTGAGGAAGCAACTCAATTCTCAGATAGTGAGAGGGTTTCTCCTCTCCTAACCGAACCTTTGAAATGCCCATGACTGCCAAAAAGGCATGGACTGGGTTCTGGCCAAGATGGCAGTGAGGGTAAATGTGGTCCTCAAGTCCTCCCACAACCACATCAAAATTACAACTAAACTACGGAACCATCATTCAGAACCTTGTGAAATCTAGCTGAACAGAAATCTTACAACTAAAGATATAAAGAAGCCACATCGAGATTGGAAAGAGGAGTAGAGAGGTGGAACAGGCTGGTCCCACACCCATGTGCAAAATATCCAGAGGGATATGTCAACTGCAGAGGTTCCTCTTGAGGATCGAGAGGATCCAGCCCCACATCAACCCCTAACCCCATAATACACTCAATTAATTTTAAATTTAAATTTTAAAAGTTTATTTGTAATGGTATCACAAACAAAATACTTTAACTTTTATTTCACAGATACACTGAAAACTAGAAAACACTGCTTAGAACAATTAAAGGAATACACACACACACACACACACACACACACACACCCCAAATTCATGAGTCAGAAGGCTTAATGTCAAATTTTGTATCAAATTAATCTATAAATTCTTTCTCACTGGGAAGTATACCTTCACCCCAAAAAGTAAAGAGGAAGCAATGAGTAGCAGGTAACAAACAGCTCTGTAGGAATCCAGCTATGATGCTGGACAAACAGCTAAGTAGGAATTTAGAGAACCAAGAGTCTCCAGTGGATGATTCTCAGAAAAAACAAAGCTGTTAAAAAGTAAATTAACCTCTGTGTTTGTAATTCTGAGCGAACTTTTAGACTTTTAATGGAAAAGTCTTTTAAGAACCTGGGATTGGAATATGAAAATCTAAACCAATGGCAATTAATAACCCTTGGAAAGAGCGAAGTTATTCCAGAAATGCAAAACTAGAATTTTATTACAATCAACTGTGAACACTACTTACTTAAATTTTATTTTTATAATTAATTAATTTAACAAATTAAATTATAACAATGAAAACATTTGGAAGAAGGGAAGTGTTAGAGATAGGTGGTATAGGAGTGCTAAATCCTTATCTTCATACTAGGAAGACAATTTAAAATGCCAAAAATGATAAAATCTAGAAATAAAACATAGATATATTTTGTAGATATAAGAATGAAAAATACAGAAGATAGAGCTAGCACATGGAAAGTGGTTTGCAGGGCAAAGATCTGAAGGTAGGGAAAGAGGGGTGGAGTACAAACTTATAAATACTGTGTACATTTATTACTTTGATTAAACACTTTTCTAAAATATGTATTTTTAAACTGGTTGGATCACTTCCTGTTATTTTTACTAAAATCATTATGAGAGAGAGAGAGAGAGAGAGAGAGAGAGAGAGAGAGAGCGCGAGAGCGCTAGAGATGAGGATGGAGGTGGGGATGGGGATGGGGATGGGGATGGGGATGGGGATGGGGATGGGGATGGGGATGGGGATGGGGATGGGGATGGGGATGGGGATGGGGATGGGGATGAGGATGAGAGAGGAAGAAAGAGTGATTTCATCAGATTCTTTACAAACTGAAAACTCAGCACCAACTGATTCACTGCCATGGTCCTGAACAAATGACCCACTGGAAAGCTTTAGATTTAAGAAAATTAAGGACTGACAATAAGCATCGAGGAGCCTTCACATAAATATTTTAAAGTACATACTGTAAGCAATTAACATTGTGCAGTGATATGTTAAATTGAAGATTTTTAGCTTTTGTACTTTTTTCATTAAAATGTTACATATAAAGATTAAGAAACCACAAGTGCACAGCTTGATGCATAACCATGACGTGAACTTGCTCTAGTCCCCACCACCTAAGTAAACCACTAGCACATTACCGGAGCCCAGAGCTCCTATGACGCATGTGATGACACTAAGGTTAGTATGACAACCCCTCACCTCAGCCCTGGCTTCCTCTGTGTACTGAGTACAGACCCATGTGACTCTGGTCTAAACTATCTTCTCCTCAATTGTTTATTCAGTGATATGTTTGCCTCCAAATAAGCCAATAAACCCCTCGTCAAACATAATAGTAGCAGATAAAAAAAACAAAAATTGAGCCTATTTGATTTGGCTCAATGGATAGAGCACTGGCCTGTGGCTGAAGGGTCATGGGTTTGATTCCCAGTTAGGGCACATGTCCGGATTTTGGGCTCAATCCCCAGTGGGGGCATGCAGGAAGCAGCCAATCAATGATTCTTTCTACTCATTGTTTCCATCTCTCTCTCCCTCTCCCTTCCTCTCTCTAAGATCAACAACAACAAAAAATAAATTAAAAAGTAATAATAAAAAAGCTCATTAATGTACTTTTGTGCATGGTCAGTTGTGGTGTAGTTAATACCTCATAGCTGCTTTCCTGAATGCTGAGATCATATTTAGTTCATCTCTGCAACACCTACTAAGGGCCACTGTGTAGGAACAAAAGAAATGTTGGTGATTTTCTAAATAAGGAATCAGTCACACAACCAAGTACCAATGGCCTAGTATAATAATAATACCACTTTGCATTTACATGATGTAAAATATGCATGGTACATGGTATACAGCACATACACTTAAATACACAAGGATACCCACAGGGTACCTTCTAGTTCTGGTGGCCACAAAAGCTTGTTTACATACATTTAAAATTATGAAAAATATAGCCTCCACAGGTGATCAGGTAAAAAGTAAGCTTCAACAATGTGAATTTCTGTGTAAGAATGTTGAATAGGGGGCTAATAGAATAGCAATAGTTGAATATTTGAGGAAGGACCCCTATACACCCTGAAAAATTACTGAGGTCCCAAAGAGCTTAAGTTTATGTGGGTTATATCTATTAATGAAAACAGATAGTTTTAAAAATATTTAATAATTCATTAAAAATAATAACAAACTCATATTCACACAAGTAAAACATTTTGATGAAAAAAATAAGCCTATATTCCAAAACAAAAATAAAAGTAATGAGAAGAATGGAACTGCTTTAAAATTTTGCAAATATTCTTGAAGTCTGGCCTAAAAGAAGAAAGTGAGATTCTCAAACCTGCTTCTGCATTCAACCTACTGTGATGGCACCCCATGGAGTCTGCAGGAAACTCCACTGAATTCCCATGTAAGAATGTGAGTGGAAAATGCAAATAACACCTTATTGTAATTCTGGAATTGCAGGTTCCTTGAAAGGCTCTTGGAAGTAGCCAGGACCCCAGGACCACACTCTGAGAACTCTGCCCAGAAGATACAGAACTAGAAATGGAGGAATGTTCTGAAAAATTTCCTGATGGCTGAATCTCCAGAGAAAGATTATATGTGTGTGTGTGTGTGTGTGTGTGTGTGTGTGTGTGTGTGTATCCTATATAATAAAGGGCTAATATGCAAATTGGCCAAATAGTGGAACAACCAGTCACTATGACACACACTGACCACCAGGGGGCAGACGCCTCTCCTGCCTCTGTGGCAGTGCTAAGGATGTTTGCCTGCTGTCAGTCAGACATCCCGTGAGGGCTCCCAGACTATGAGAGGGCACAAGCCAGGCTGAGGGACTCCTCCCCCACAACTGCTTGAATTTCGTGCACCAGGCCTCTACATACATTTTTATATATAGATGTGTGTGTGTGTGTGTGTGTGTGTGTGTGTGTGTGTATGCTAATGGCATGATAACTTTTTACAAGAGCAATTTAGCATAAAGAAGACTTTCTAGAAACACTGAGAATCTAATCTTAGCACTATCTTCCTTCAACTACTAGTGCATTAAAGGTTAGAAACATCACTATTTTATCTTTAAAAGAGATTGCCTATTTGGCAATTATCACATGGTGCAGGTGCTTGTCAAATCTCATTC